GTATTTATCTTTCTTTTAAGTCATGTTTCCGCTAATTTATTATATTTTATTAATCTCTTAATTTGGTTTCAATTAGCAAACTGGTGAATGCGCGTGGGAAAAACCATCTAATACGGTATTGTAAGTTTGTCTTATTTATTATTTATTATTCATCTAATAATCTTTTTCAAATAAAAGGTCTAACTCTTATTACGCAGGCATCAAAAAGATCCAACAGGTGAATGGTGGGAATTATGGGATGATAATCACCAACTGCCTTATTATTATAATACGGCATCTGGGCAGACTGAATGGGTCCGTCCGGAAAGTGGAACAATTATTCCGCTGACAAAAATTCAGGTATTAAATTTGTTAACTTATCTACCATCTTTCTCATCTTTTTTTTTAAATTCATTGTTTTTATTCTTTATTTCAGAATTCGTCAATTGGTAAAAGGATATCGATTGCGTTGACTCCAACCGATGATGAGATTGATATAAATCAAATACAACAAATTAATGGATTAAGACATGCTAATATGGTATCCCCGGAACGCTCTTCCGGGTTGTTAAGTATCAATTACGTTTTATCGAAACATAATTCGATTTCATCAATAGCTTCACCGCCCTCGGAAATTAAATCATCAAGTCAAGAACAACTCGACTCTGATTTTGTGAGGAATGAAAATGAAGATAACAATATGAATTCCTCAAATAAAGAAACTAGTCAATTAGAAGTTTCGAATAATTCAACTTTTAATGAAGAAAATCCCGTAAACTATGATATTATAGGCTCCTCATCTCAAAATTCTTCTACTGATAAATATGGCGTTTCAAACTCTTTTGATATACCTTCTCGGGTTTGTCTCTGGCTTTCTTTTTTTTTTTTCATCCTTTTTTTTTTCAGATATTAATCTCCATAAATTTATTTTACTAGGATATTGACTTAATTCCGATAAGACGGAATTCAAAAGTTTCTCAGATTTCAATTGATTCTGTGATGAGCGTATCTACGGCTTCAACTTCTAGACCAAAAACCCCAAATTCTGGAAACATTCCTAATAGTGGAAATCAATTGTTCAAGATTATGTCCCCGAAGAAATCTAGTGAAGCCGCTGAACGTGCAAGAAAGGCTGGAATTAGCAACCCTCGTGTAAACTATGGTAAGTGTTAAAATGGTTTGCTTGATTATACTTGAATAAAAGAATATTGTGACAATTTATAATACAGTCATCTCTCATTTATATCAACCCATTTGAATTGCTTTTATATTCATGTTGATAGTGATATTAATGAGTGATCATATTAAAATTGATATATATGAGGGAATTTTAATATAACTTTAATATATAGAAATTCATTTTATAGTTTAGGTTGATATCAACGGGTTTGATATTAATGAGGGACGACTGTAGTATATTATTGTAATTGATGAATTATTTGAGAAAATATTTAGAAAAAATTATTTGATTGATATAATGTCGGGAAAATAAGTATCTGGAAAGTTTATAAAACAGGTGGAATATTTTATAAGTGAGATCGGAATTTCTTGATTTTAGCGTTAGGGCTAAGGTGTAGATTCACATAGAATAAACTCTCAAGTTTTTCTAATTTAATTAAGATTCCAAATCCACTTAAATTTTGTTCCCACTTGTAGCAAACATATGCGATGTTACATTCATCAATGATATTGTCAACAATGATGATGGATATCATTAACAATTATGGTTGTTTCTTATTTTAGACGCTGCGGCTGCCATGAGACCAGCCGGCACGTATAGAGACCTTGAAAAAAAAAGAACTGAATACAAGATACATACTCGTAAACTAAGTACTGGGTAATTATTTCTTTAGTTTATTCTCGAAAACCATTCATTACAAATTTCTGATGCTTATTATTGATACAGGGAGGTTATGACATTACCAGCAGAATTACAACAAGATATAAATAAGTTTCGCATAGATGGATTTGCCAGAAAATATTTTAATACTCACAAAAAGGGAATC